GAACGATAAACATTGCACTCTTTACTTCCAATAACTCTGGAGGAAGCCTGCCCATGAAGTCCAGAATATGGCTTGTTTCGGCCTATTGCCGAGGTTAGTACGTATGGAAACCTGCGTCAATTCTACTCAATTTGAATCCAATCATTTGTTATGTTGGTAACGTTGTCAAGCGAGCTAAACAACATGATTTCTGGGAATAAGAAGTGGGCACTTAAAAGGTAGACGGTTTTGAGTATATTAATGGTACTCTTTTATTGAAAAAGTGTATTATTCGTGTAAATTTCGTGAGTCAAAAAGAAATTGTTTACTGACACGTGCAACATATTTAATTACTTAAACAAAGTTAAAATTGTTAAAAAAATAAAGACAGATACAGATAGTTTGCTGTCATCCAGAAAATTCGCAAACTTAAGAAGAGTGCCTTTCATTGTCAGTCATGTGCATAGTGCATATCGATGTCATATTTGCTTCAGACAAAGTCATGGTAATTGCTCTCTTTTCACACATTCATTATCCCACTATACACCTTTTTTTTTAAACCTCGCTATTCTTTCTCTCTCTCTCTCTATTCTTTCTCTCTCTCTCTCTCTCTCTCTCTCTCTCACACACACAAACACTCCCTTTACCTCTCTCTCTCTCTCTCTCTCTCTCTCTATATATATATATCTATATCGTTTCCATATGGTTATATACTTTAAGCTATAATGTTCAGTGAGAGGATGAAATGGATTCGAAATGTTGTTATGTAGACTGTTCCAAAAACAGAAAGAAAAAAAAAGACGGCATCTAGTATATATCCCTCAAATTACTGTCCATAGAGAATCAATATTCTATCCATCTCAAATGTATAATTGCCTTTTTATCATTATTATTCTCATTATTGTTAGTAGTAGAAGTAGTATTATTAGTAGTACAGTCAAACCTGTCTATAGCGACCGCCCAAGGAAAAACAGAAAGTGGCCCTTATAGACAGGTGGTCTTTGTAGACAGGTGGTCACTAAAGCAGGTTTGACTGTAGTAGTACTACTACTACGACTACTAACATTGTACAATGTATATAATTGTTACTGCTTGATGTTATGTTCTTGGAAATGCAATTAAGTGAATAGATAATAAGAAATATTAAAGTTTCAAATATATGACGTGCGTTTCCAACCGGGAAAATAAGAACAAACATCTTGCATTCACATGTCAATCCAGAAGCAGATAGCGATACATTTAATGACGTCAATAGATGAGTGCACTTCTGCATTCTTTTGTACGATTATACCACACCCAAATTCATTTCTCCGGGTAAGAATTCAGAAAGTTCCTGAATTGGCGGGTGAATTTGTATCATGTCGATACAAAAGATTCTATTCATTATTGTTTCCGATGAAATTAATTTACACGTAACAGCGTGTAACACTTTACGAGATGACGACTAAAGTTTCTAGGATGAGTGGTAAAATTCGAATAATTATTACATGACTTCACATTTTAGGATGTACTTAGATTGGCATACATTGCTAGCTAGATTTCACTCGTATAAGATTTATTAAAACAATTATCTTAACTTTGAAATTTAATATTAGTCTTTGGTTCATTTAGGTGACCGCTAGTCTTAGGCATAATGGTATGAATATATAGTCATATACAGGAAAGTAATGTATAAATGCATGTACATTCGACATTCCAAGCACGAAGTATGCTAATTTTTTAAGTCATTATTTACCGGTTCTTCTACTTATTCATTCGTTTCAAACGTTTCATTTTCCCCTCAATCAATATGGCCACAGTTACCGGTACGTTATTAAAAGTGTTTCTGTGTATTTACCCATTGGGATGTTCGTTTGGTTGGCAAGCGCATGTGAAATGCAGGGTAGAATTTCCTGTAATTAGTATCTATCAATTCCAATTAGTTTGATTTTTTAATTTTTTTTTATTGATGAATCTTTTCTGTTTTCTGCGGTTAACTTGAGACTAGGGTACTGTTTTCGATATTCATTAGAGTCTTTATAAGCGGATTTTCAGGTAATTTCTTTAAGATTTATTACTGAGTATCGCTAGATACGTAAGATAATCCATACCGACTAGGGCTAGGAATATACAGATTGCGAAATGTACCAGCAGCACCAAGTGTTAAAACGGTCGCTGTACATTCTCCTTCTTGAAGAACAGGCATTTCCTTCTCTTTATCTGCTTCGAAAACGCATAGAAAAGCCGCCAGAGTGTGATAATGTTACATCACTTAATGCAGATAAGGGTCTAATAAAACTTTATTACGGATTATGGTAACAATCTACTGGTACATGTACCACCAAAAGAGAACAAAGGAAAATAATTTTAATGTGCTTTATCAAGCGGGCATATAATTTTAATAATACATTCTCAGAATTGGAACCTATTCTGTGATCCTTATTTTTGGTAATGCTCATGGGACCATCTACCCTTACTTTACGAAAGAAAGCCATCCATTGTTAAATTAAATCATCCGCAAAGCGTACCAGTTAAATACCAAAATTCATCCAAATAATAATCAATGATATGGAACGCCTTCATTTTATTTACAAGTCGGTAGTTATGCAAGTCATGAGAGTGGAGTGATGACGTGTCAAATCCAATTATTGAAACTTGAAAACCCACATAATTTTGGCCACTTTCATTCAAAATCAAGCAAGTCTTAGCAAAATTGTTCGGTTAATTGTATAAAAGGAATCATGCGCATTTTCTTGTACTTATGTAATGCATTTTTTATTCATTTATTTATTTATTTCTAATGTTATGTCAGGGTAGCCCATTCACCAATAAGTAGTGGTCTTAATTTCATTGGGCCCAGAATGATTATGAACATATTTACAGTACATCAAAAAGCATAACGTACATAGAGAAAGATATAACACAGCAATAATAGACGTAGCAGAAACGAATACTCGTTCGCAAAATAATCATGTATCAGTTACCTGTTCAAATGCAATGCTAATACAAATATTGATTAAAGTCGAAATTATTTTTAAATAAATCAGGTTTTAATATTACAGAATATGCCCGTACTGTATGTTCGACTGAGCTAATTACAACTTTGTTAAAACAATCTCTTAAATGAATTGACAGAGGAAGCCGTTCTCGTCGAATTATCTAGCTTATTCCATTCATATATAGAAGAAACAATTTAGCTACACTTATAGCAGTATTAAATCTGGGCTCACGTAAAAATCCACTGCCTATTTGCCTTGTATGATGCTCATGTACATCATTAGGATTGATTAAGCCTACCTGAAGGTAAGAAGGTGATCAGTTATTACCTTTACCTTTACCACAAATACTGGAAGAATGCTGAGACAGCAGTCGAGCTTCCAGGTCTATCTTCTTGGACGCATTTATAATATTCCGCTTTACAGATATATCATCATAACGCGACTACATGTAAATTGTCATCCATGTAAGACTTGTGAACAAATCAGCTGACGGTGTGTCATATGTCTTGTTCAATGTTATTTTTGCAGCTTAGTTATATGGGAATGAAATATATATTCGACCAAACAGAGCAGTAACCAGAGCAGAGCAGTAACCAGAGCAGAGAAGTAACCAGAGCAGTTATTAGACCAATCAACCGAGCAGTAATCAAATCTCTTTCTACACTCATTTTGTCAGACTAGTTCAAACTATTTGGATATTTCACCATGTTGAGAAATTTTAATCGGGTAATTAACTAAATACATTCGTGACTCCCTATGTACTTCCAATTTATTGGCTTCCAATAATGATGTTAATTACATTATATTAACTTTTGATTTACATTACTGGTGAACTCGTTAAACTCACTCCTCATCTTAAATAGGCATTTAAAATGTATAAGTATTGCCATCTGAAATAATTAATTTTGTTAAAGTACGAATTTTGCGCAACAATAAGTTATTCAGCCCACCTCTCTTGTATCCTTTCACCATATTATTATATGGGAATGAAACCAAACAGAACAGTAAGAAGAGCAGAGTTGTAATCAGAACAGTAATTAGACTAATCAACAGAGCAGTAATCAAATCGCTTTCTACACTCATTTTGTCAGACTTTATTCAAACAATTCGGATATTTCACCATGTTGAGAAATTTTAATCGGGTAATTAACCAGTTAACTAGATAAATTCCTGACTCCTTATGCACTTAAATTCTTCTTGGCTTCTAATAATAATGTTAATTACATGATATTAACGTTGTATTTGCATAACTGGTGAACTCGTTAAACTCACTCCTCATCTTAAATAGGCATTTAAAATGTATAAGTATTGCCATCTGAAATTATTTATTTTTTAAAAGTACGTATTTTGCGCAACAATAGGTTATTCATCATTCATGTTTCAGGGCTCAAGAGAACACAAAGGAGAAGAATGTAAACAAGAACAGATACAGAGAAATCGGGAAAAGAATGATAGAATGAAGGAGAGGAGAGTATATACCCAAGGGGACCTACATCGTTTACATACAGATCCAGAGAAGGCAGTGACGAGGGAGGAAAAAGGGAACAAGCAAGAAGAAGAGGAAATAAGATAAAAGAAAAGTACGATTGGAATGAGAATAATGAGCATAAGACAGAAAAAGGGGGGAGAAGATGATGATGATGCTAATGAAAGTTAAAAAGAGGGCGAGGATGGGCGAAATAATTAGGAATAACAATCATTTGAAGTATGGGGTTTCAGTGAGACGAAGAGTATTAACCCAAAACGGGGTTAGAAGGAGCAGATAGGGATACAGAAAAAGAATAAAATTAATTCAGAACAAGGGGCACCGGCAAAACATAATGTTTGATAGTAACGATTGGGTGGGGTGCTGGTTTTATTGTCCATGTAATACTGGTTACTGAAAGACGAAAAATCGATAGTCTGTTTAGCGGTGTAACAGCAATCTTGAAAAGTCAATAAAACGTTGGCTTGTGATTGTAAAAAAAAAGGGATATAGATTGGAATAAGAAACTTCAAAACAATTTGCTGATGAAAAGTTGTACGAATCAAGTTTAAACTTACTTTGCAAGATTAAGAAGAGAATGCCACTCAGAATAGAGAGCTTTGATATTCCATATATCCCCATGTTGATCACGCTTGCAGCCTCACGGGAGAGCACTTCTTAACTTAGCGTTGCATGTGAATGGTGACAGATCCTTTGCGTCCGTCTGATGTAACCCAGATACCAGTTTGTTGTATATCCTTCCAATATGATCATGAAATAATTCCTAGCGTCAAAAAAGTTATTATCCTGCCTACGTTTCTTCTTAGATTGCCATTGCAGGCTAGTAAAAAAACGTCATTTGAGTAGAAAGTGATCTCTTCTGGCGGCAAAGGTATATGAAAGCCAGCTTGGGCAAGCGCGTGTTCGTGAAGAAGTCCCAGTTAACTCTGTCAAGTCGCGAGAGAGTGGTTTGCGTTCACGCTGACATGACCGACGAGCATGCGCACAAAATTACCGAGTCTAGATCTACACCGTTGGGACGGGACAATAGGCTAAGTTATGTTTGCGAAAGGGATACAGAATCCAAGATACAATAAGAATGGCATAAATAGTGATCGTTAAGGCGTAACGTGTGAGATCGTGTATCTTTGTTTGTGTTCTTATTTGATTTTTACAAACGCGTATCAGATATAATTTACGTCCGGGACGAACCTGTATATCTCCATCCAAAGAAGACCTGGGCTCCGATTAGAGTCTGTCTGTAGGCGGATACAGAGAGCTCATCGTACTTTCACACATAGACCAACTTACGTCACGACGAAATAAGGGATGGGCTAAACTTACTTTTTTTTCTGGAATTTGAGAGTATTAGATTCCAATTAGATTTAAACGTATTTAGTTAAGGAAGCGAATTACAGATCATGTCCTATATAGATGAGTACAAAGAAAAGTTCTCGAGGGAAATGGGTTCAGTAGTTTCATGAAAAAAGGCGGGAGCCTCCCGCTAAGTGCAATATCAAAAATGGTAGCTGTTTTATATAAAAAATGCTCTCAGTAACATGTGAAAGATAAACAGTGTATATCCCGAAAAAGATGATTAAATTATATTATTCTCTCATTTTGCCACACATTGACTATTGTATCATATTGCGTTCTAAAATAGTAATAGATCGATTACAAAGATTTCAAAATAAGGTTATAAGAATGATATTTAATCTGTCTAATAAGACAACGGTTAGACCATTTTATTGAGTTAAAGTGGCAAACAAGAAAGAATAAAGTATCAATTTTGCATTAAGGTTTTTAAAATATTTAATAGGCATACACCCGAATATCTTGATCGTTTGTTATTAATAAGGCCAATAATTTATACACCTGGTATGCAAAAAGTAGTAAATTAGTTGTTCCCCAGGTATTTACCGAATATCGTAAACGCAGGTTTTTTTTTTTTATACCAAGGTTCATATCTTTTCAACAAACTCCCTCTAAATATTCAATTAAGTAGTTCATTGCCTCTAATAAAAATTTGTTGCCGATCTTTATCTCACACTCTTTAGAAGTCCAAACATGCAAAATGTTGATAAATGTTTTTAATATTTGTTTTTAATAAATAAATTGGCTGTATGCCCTTGTTATTGTTGTTGTTATTTATTTAATTTTGTAATGTATTCGTTTAGAGTATCCATTAAAAAAAGTATTATACTATAACGTAGTTCTGTGTTAAATTTGTGATTTTTTGATCAAATGTGATGTCATTTTATGTACCTGCATAATGTAGGGCTTCCTTGGAAAGCAGGTCATTAAATTAATGTTTTGGCTTGAATGGAACTAACCTACTGAAATAAAACTTAATAAATAAATAAATAAAAGTAACTGGATCTTTCTTGCAGAAACGTGGATAAAAGATTCCTGCCTACAAACTAACGGGCCACTTTCAAAGGAAAATATGCTTTTGTAATGACAAATGCTTTTCGCTACAACTCGTCTGATAATACGAGCAGTACACAGTACTTACCTTTACAAGGAGGCAAGCGAAAGGAAATGGAGCAAAATTTCCTGAAATATTAATAAAAACTACTCGACTGGGAATGTGTGGCACTAATCTGACATATAACATCATAAAGAACTGTACATGAACAAATTCGCTTATTATTTTCGTGAGCCGGTATTCATCAGAAAAGCGTCAAACTGCAGGTTTTAGGACTGTAAAATGTTACTATTTTTCACAAATTTAAGCTGCTATCATACATTGTAAGCGAATTTCTTGACACAATTCCAATGATATTGGCGGCTTCGAACCTCGGACAACAGCAGCACACCAGTAGATTATATTGTGCAACCATAGAAAACGGCAGCTGCTTGGAATAATAAGTTGCCAGTTGGGTCTCCAGCTCTTAAAATTCCTTGGTTGGACACACTCTTTTTCACATTCTTTGCTGTGGCTTGCCTAACAAAGCAACATACGCCGTAAACCAACTTATACATACTTATATTTACACATACAGCGACGGTTCTGAGCAATAGCTTTAAGGACGCCCTCTGATGAAAGCAAATACATTACGTTTAAAAACCGACACTTTAGTCCAGGCGAAATAGTGCTTGACCCACCACTAATTGCAATATAATTTGTTCCACTGCATTTCAGTAACCTCACCTACACATATTAAAAGTCCCAAGACTCGGTAGACAATGGCAAGCGTGGTTTAATGTGTTGGCAATGGACGTTCTGAAAAGAAAAGAAAAAAGAAAACACAGGTTTACTTAGGTTTACAGGCGAATTACTTGATATTTAAATTTATTTATCGGTAAATGTATAAATGATTGAAACTTTGCTTTTCTCTTTAATTAAATTTTTTAATTTTTATTTCATTTCCAGGAACAGAAAGGAGTATAACAATTACAAAAATACAACAACAAAAAACGAATTACAATAATCAATACAATAACAGAAAAAAGCCACGAACTAATGCCTAGGGATAACCAAAAGAAACCGAGTTTTTGCAGGAGGCTCTCCTCATTATTAATGTAATACATTACTACATACAAATATACATTGATATACATAATTACATATGAAATATACATGAAAATAATTCGATACCCAAAAGATGAAAGAGACAAATCTTTAGATTTTGAATAAAAAACAATAATATGTTGTTCAGTTCATGAGAGTGAGCCGATTTAAAGATGAAAGAAGAACAAAGAATCACTTATATTTTGCAAAGAAAAGCCTGATTCTTTTTTCATGCGATTGCATTGTGAAAAAAAGGTGTGGAATGGATCAGAAAAAGTTTATCATGTAGCATGTAAGTACTGGTGAGTACTGCAAGAGTCATCAAAAAATCATAATACATTTGGCCCAGTCTTGGTAGAGTAACAAGCACTGTACACATAAAGATGTATATGGGACTACACAAATGGTGTCGGGGCTACTTACCTTGATTTCCTTATCTTTCTATGCTCATTACTCAGCCAGTATAAATTTTCTACCAAAATTGTTTGGCAAATGACATTTATTTGTATTCGTGAACATTCAGTGTAAGTTTCATTTGATTCTGCGAGAATTCTTTTTTTTTTAACCAGAACTCAAGTTTATCTTTAATTTGCATTGCAATTGATTGGTTGATACCCTTTCAAATAAATTAAAAATTCAAACCATTCCATCATTAGTAGATGAAGATAAGGGCGAAATGCGCACAGTACTTCCTGAAATGAAGAAAAGCGAAAAGAACAGAAATCAATTGATATATTGCACCACAGTAATATTACATGGCATAAGGTATCGACATAATTTATAGGGTGCGTTTAATCGACACTTTTTCACCCTAGAATCACGGTTTTCAAAGACGTTTAGTTTAAAACGCAATTCGCTCAAGCGATTTTTTCGTCGGTCGTAAAAATAAACGTGTTTGAAAACACAAACATGAAACGCTGAAAAAGATGCGTTTTGTATCATGATTCTGCAGAATCACAGTCGCTAAAATTCGATTGAACGAACGTAGTCTCAATCATGATTCTATCGTGGCCTGTTCCGGTTTGGGCAAAAACCGCGCGCCTGCTTTTCATGCAATTTGCGTTCACTATACCATGCTCTTTATCGAGGCCAGTTCCGTTATGTTATTCCTTGTTTTCCTTCTATCATTTTCTCTTTCTGTCTTTCCTTATGTTATTCTTTGTTTCTTCCTTCTATTCTTATGTTTTTCTTTGTTTTTTTCCTTCTATCACCTTTTCTTATGTAATTCTTTGTTTTAAGCATTCTATCGACTTTCTCTTTCTTATATTATTCTTTGTTTCTTCCTTCTATCACCTTCTCATTCTTTGTTTTATTATTGCGATCTTTGCTCAAAACTGCAGTCGACAGTCAACCGTAAACAATTCCAGACAGCGCGCGCCAAGGTTGACCTATACTTTCTAGGTCAAACTGCGGAATGTGATGGCCAGGCGCTTACACAGGGAGGGGGGGGGGTTCCCCTTTTGGTATTTTTTTGTGTGTAAACCCCACCATAACCCCCCTAAACCCCCCTCCCTTTTGGATTTTTTTTTTAAAATATTCCCATGGCTGACCTAAAAAAAGCTGACCTTACCACCACCCCCCCCCAACGGAGCAAAATGTCAAATTTTCAAATTTCGAGACCAAAAAAAAAAGGAAAAAAAAAAGTGTCCTAACCCTATGGTGACGGCAGTGGGTGGGCTCGAAATGAGCTACAATCAGCGTTGATGAAAAATCGCTTGAACGCAAACCGCAGTGACCTTATTTTTAGTAACGGCGTTTTGATTTGTGACTTCCCCGCCGGGGATCCCCGATTTGTTCACTCTGTAGAAGGTGTAACCACATACCCTGGTGTAACACAAAGAAAAGTAAATAGAGTGGCACGCAATCGCTCTAATTAGTTGACGTCAACTAGTAAGTCCATGACCGACATAAAAGCAAGAACAATGCCAAAAGACACATTTTGTTCACCGAACCCCACCAACAAATGAAATAGAAAAAGAAATTCTTTCATTATGACATCACACAATTCATAAGGGCTTTCATCGAAAGGGTGCGGTGCGGTGCGGTGCGGTGCGGCGCGGTGAGTTCAACGAACCCATTCGATAAAAACCAGTGAAATAAACATAATGATGAATCATTAATGCGTTGGGCAAATTTGCTAAATGATTCGTGGTGTTCAAATGTACAATAATTTCAGATACAAAAATCATTCTATTTCATCCTCACTTGACACCCCCCCCCCCCCTCTCTCTCTCTCTCTCTCTCCTCTCTCTCTCTCTCTCTCTCTCTCTCTCTTCCACGTGGTAAAATCGTATTCATTCGTTATATATTTAACTTTCTATTCCCCTTACTTCTTCACTTTTACACCTTTCTCACTCCCTGCTTTATTAATATTTAATCGGCTAGGTATGGCTTTAATTCTGCCTTGGAGTAAACAAGAACAACGTCCTCGTGGTCACAAAGCGCACTTTGTAGAATA